GTACCTCTCGGAAGACAACACTTCTAGAGCCTCGCGACCTTTTGTTTTATTTCAGACGAACTTCTGCTTGTAATATTGTTATCTGTAGTAGAAGATTACACGTACAAAGTTCGAGGGTTTTTAAAACTAGAAACCATTGTTTTTTGGGTCGCACTAGATTAAAGCCTCTCATCCAGTGGTGCGGGTGAATACAATTGAATGTACAATTTGAATTGAACCTCTTTTACTTGCCGAAAACCTGGTTAATGAAGTAAAAATTAACATGCCGCATTTGCCATCTGGAGAGAACGTCTCTGCTTTCCAAAAAAAAAAAAACATTTGGCTGTCTATGTCTTCCATCTAAGAGCCCTTCAAGAGATGGGTTCAATGTTACTGACGCTAAACTGTATCCTTTTTTAATGGTCCTTTTCACGGACACAAGTTTGTGATTGAAGGCTTCATGTGGATACACGATAAATGTTCCACGTTTCCAGTAAAAATTGATTTATGATCGTTGAAATGGTAAATTCAGACTTTTTTAATCACTGTAAATGTGTGATATCACTAGAAATCGTCTTCACCTCAGTCTATAAAAGTGGGGAAGCATTATCACAGTTTACGTCTAGAAACCGTAGTGCCAGAACAATTTACCGTAAATTGACTGCAAATGCATACCTCAAAATCCCTTCTTTAGGTGCAGTGTTGTTTTCTCGCTTGGGGCCGAGTAAAATTAATTGGATTAAGTTAGGTACTTTATCAGCTTGCTTGGAAAGTGAAGTGGTATATAAATAGGCATAAATATTCACCTATTTATTCATTTGGTTTTATTCATCTATTTGTTATTTATTCATCTCTCTGTCTCATTTTGAATAACAAAGGAAGAAGGTCACGGAATGTCTGAATGTTTGGAATCGTCATTGCGCAACTCTCCTTCCCGTTCTGACCAAATATCTTTTTCCTCAAGGAGTCCATATTCAAGAAGCGGAGTGAGCCTGGAAAATTTTAAAAAGTCTATCAAACGAAGGAAGCTTAGATCTGAAGATGATCCTCCATTTATTTGGATGAACGTATGCGGAAACAGTAGAGAGGACAATAAGACGTTATAAGAAATTTCCATCCTCTTATAGCCTCATAGTATACGAACCATGTAAAACAAACATTTCGAGCCATATCTTTTGCTTTGTGCCATTGCAATTCGTTAAGCGCCGCCATCTAACAAGCCATCGCCGAATGATACCGCATTTAAGATCACGGTAGTTATTGGGGAAATATAACTAAAATAGCAATGGTAAAACTTTTTCAAAAATGGTCTCGAGAATTTGCAGGCAATGTTTTCGTGTAGGAGTGGCTAACGCTGTCTTCTCTTCTATTCTAACTCTTGGTTTCGGATTGAAGGGAGCAGTGACAAAGAAACTTTTACTAACAAAAATAAAGCCAGTGCATGATAATTTGGACATTTTTCTGTTTGACGGTATTTCTCTCTTACGTTTATTATTATTATTAATATTCTATATATGTATATAAGGTTTTTGAAATAAGAACCGCACTTGCAATCTCGGAAAAAACTGTTGAGACAATATGTGTTTGCAATACAACATTTCTCTCTGGTAAATCATTTGAGAAACTCTACTTCCCCTCCCCTGCACTCTATATCAACAGGAGCCCATTATCCGGAGCCTCCATACCAATTATACCCTTGAGTCAACCCTGTCCCGTATCTTTTTATTTTTAGAGCTGAGATACGTAGGGGGGTTCTTTACTTTTCCGCGAAAACACACTGACGTTCGCATAACACCCTAAAAAAAAAGGTAAACTTTCCGCGCTTTTCGCCGTTATTGAAATACTTTCGTGCGGCCTGCATGTGACGTAAACAGTAGAAGACCACAACGCTCTTACGATTGGCTATTATGTTAAAACCCGCGAAAAACCCCGTGGGAGGTGCTTCTAAAAATAAAAAGATACGGGACAGGGTTGACTCAGAGGGTAAGTATGGAAGATGGAAGCTCCGGGTAATAGGCTCCTGATATCACCTGAATCGAAAGAGGTTAGGCTTTAGAAAAAGCCACTTCGAACTCCTTATGGAAAAGAAAAAGGTTTGAGTTTTGCGCCAATCAATTCGAATCTTTCACACCCTTCCCTCCCCCTACGAGAGGCTTATCTGCATTTTACTGTCGTCCATACTGGGGGGGTGAGGAATTTAAATCTTACCAGGGCGGAGTGGGAAAATTAAATCGGAAGACAAGGAAGACAAGGAATTTTTTGAAGTGCACACAACAAAAAAAATTAAGATATTAAGCTATTTAAAAAATTGTAAGTTATCTAGTATTCATGTTAGTAATCAACTTGTAAGTAATGTATGTAGTATAACAATGTACTGATTTTTCAATTATACTACTAAATATGTATTTGCAAAAAAAGAAAAAAAAATCAAAAATTAAAAAATTAAAAAACTAGCAAATTAAAAGAAAAGGTATTTCCAGCCCAACAAGTGTGTTTTATCTTTGAATATGGGGGTGTTAAAAGGAAAAAGTTCACTTTCGCGAGCGGAAAAAAAGCTCCGAAGAGGAGGTTTACATGAAAGTCTTGGTTGCTGATCTTGCCAGGGGAGAGGGGGGATGTTACAGCTTCGAATTGATCAAAGGAAAATTTTACAGCTGACCTTCATTTCGCCGAAAAAGCTCCGGAAAATGTTAGAACTATTTCTTGGGCTTTCAAAATTCAGCGTAGGTTATCTGATCACAACGTTTTCGTTACTGCCGTTCAAATTGAAGTATTAAATACTAGTACCTTACAGTTGGTTCATCTCAATCACGTGCATATGTACGCATAATTTACAAAGATAAAGCTGAGAATTCCCTTAAGAGGTCTCGTATGAATAAAAGCAAATTTATTTTCTTCTGAAGTAATATTTAGTCCGACGTGGTTTGTTGATTAATTAATTGGGGTTGGAGGGAGCTGGGTGTTTAAAGCCTGAAGACTCAAGGAAACACTTTTAAATGTTCATTACGAATGTTTCCACAAATTTCCTTCTGTGGGAACTGACATATTGATAAACTTGATCAAAGCCACCGTGGTCTCTTTCAGACTTATTCGACATTCAAAATTTCCTAGACGTGAAAGAAAACCAAAATATGAAAAGTAATAACAAAAGTGAAAGTTACCTAACTGGCTTTTGCTGATGGCATTTCTCGCGGCTGAGAACGACACCTGCAAGAAAGCCACAGGCCGATTCTGACCGTGTACTTGAAAATATATCTTCTTTCGGTAAGGAATAATTAAATAACTGAGAATTTTTTGAATTGAAAGTTACGCCCAGTGTTTGTCTTTGAAATGATTCAACGCACTGTCCGAATTTTTTTCGTGGAGTGATTATCCTATTTTTTTCACAAGGGACCTTAAGATACCATGGAGGCGGCTTAAGAGAACTTAAATTTGCATTAATGTCACGCCACTCGAAGGCCTCCACCTCAGTTGCGGCAGCGACAAAGTTCATTTTGGCGGCCCCTCAGAAAGGGGAGTTAGTTTTGCGACTTTTCCTTTAAAGTAACACATGATGATTTGCAAAAAATTTCCAAACCTCATTTTAGGGAAATAGATTCCTAAATTGTTTGGTTCAATATTGTTTTCATAATTCAGGTTTTAACGTGTTAATAGAGGAAAGGGTGAGCGTCAAGTTTTCAGAAAGGAATTCGAAAAGCAGCTAAATTTTAAAGCAGGTAAAGGAAGAGCGATGGGAGAGGAGGTCCGAAAGAAGGCGTGCGAAAAGCTGGGTGGAACGATGAAACGTAAAGGAGAAGGTGAGGGTTCGTCAGAGCCGAAGAAGAAAAGATCACGAAAGGGTGGAAATAATACAATAGAGCTTCTGAGGGAAAAGGCAAACATTGATATGGCAATGAAACAAGAAGAAGAGAAAGCGAGATGGGAGGAGCACGAGCGGCAAACAACGCTTTATGAGTTAGCACTTGCTAATCAACAACAGCAGCAACAGCAAAGCAATTAATTAATGAATCTGATGATTGGCACCATGAAACAAATTGCAGAAAAATAATACGTTTAATGTTTACATGAAAGGATTCCAATTTATTTATTTTACTTTATTTTTATTTCAGATTGCCTGTTTTTACTTAGTTCTACACTTATAAATATAATCTATGTCACCTCCAGAAGTTACGACGACTTGTTAAATTTAAAAAGCTTGATAGCATTTTGCGATAGAAATCCCTCTGTGTTTTTTGTTTTTTGCATGTATGGTAAAGCATTGATTGTTTTTTCGTAGAGGTAGTGTTTACATAATAAGCAGTAAAAACTACTTTTCGAGCATTGCCATGAGCTAAGAGGTGCTTACAATATATAATGAAATACACCAAATATATGACAAAGGTAAACTTATAGGCCGAGAAATGAGAAAGTTACTGATTAGTTTCCTTGAATTTCTTTTAATATTTCAAGGCCATAGAATGGAATGGTAGGGATAAGGTGGGGGGGGGGGTAGGGCATAGCAAGTAGCTATAACATGGTTTTCAGGAGGAATGGAGGGGGGATCAGTCATCTCTAACAAAGTAAAAAGGGTGGACTACAGAAAACATAGAGCATTGAGACTACAGAGCATTGGAGGTGTCTACTAAATTTTATTTTGACATAATCAAAATCCTCCTATCCCCCTTATCCCATTCCCAGGAGGTGGATAACGCTCAGTCCTCATTGGATCAGTCGCACACTTTCTTAGGACAGGATGACCTTAGAAAGGCGAAACGGAAAAATGCCAAAGAGAATAATTCATGTGCACATACTTCGTAATTTTAAATCGATATGGTATGATCAATATTTAACATGAAATTATCTCAGCACCAAGAAAAAGCTCAAAGACTTTCCTTGCTCAAAATACAATCATGCAGAAAAGTTATTGATGCTTCAAAAACTAAATCCACAATATTTAACAGGAGCTGAGGATCAGAAACATGTTATACATGTCTTAGACAATAAGGAATGGAAGGAAAATTGCCAAAGAGATGCAAATAAGCCATGATGTGAAGATCATTTTTAAATTTTTGCCGTTGCTTTATTTATACTTATTTCATACAACCAGCACCATTTTCCTTGGAGAAAATAATCACTAAAATCTATAAAATCAGAATCCCAGAGTTTAGTGGTGGCCCTTTGAGAACGAGAAGAATCGACCATCATGTTACTTGGTGCATACAGCGCAGGTCAACTCTCGTCCACCTACATATGGACGACACGGGAGTGAGTTGCAAACACCTTCCACGGGGTACAGTAATGCACCATGTTTCTTTGCCCTAGTACCTGAGTAAGACTCCGCGTCCTCGTCAACACATATGAAGTTGTGTTGCTTCTTCTGGTTGTGGTATGCAGTCATCAAGTACCCATGATACTCCTCGGTCCAGCCAGATGGACAATCATTTCTTGCGGGCATCATGAGCATTGAGGCACGAGACTTGACAAAACATACCACGCACGGTGCATGATGGTCATGGAGGTTTTTCTTAAAAGGGTTGAAAGTGGATACTTGATACTCAGCACCATACATGTATCCCGAGTTCTGCCCTCCGTCTTTGTACTTGTCATACTTTGGACTGCTTGGAAGACAGAGGTAGTCCACTCCACCGCCTTGGTAAAGGTAATATCCACCACCAATCAATCCTAGGGAGACAATTGATGATGAACAAAATTAAAAGTCTTGCTTTATTAAAAAGAAAAATGATTTTTGGTATGTTACCCGACTATAAGCGAGAAGAACGATTCTTTAAATGTCATTTTACTCATCAACATTTTCCATCGTTGCAGTCAGTGAAATAATGATTTATTTGAGCTGTCTGCTACCTTAAATCGCAAAGGTAATAACGAATGGAAAGTTTAATCTTTTTGCTATTATTCCTTTGGACACTGACAAGCAGCTCTCCTTATCACTGACTGTTACCTTTGTAAACAATCTGAGCACCACTGGGACATGTCGCTCTTCCCCAACGAACATACTTTATCCCAGACTTGCCAGGTTGTCCAGGTTTTCCAACTGCTCCTACAGAGTTAATTGGGTCAGGTTTAGTGGTCAATTTTATCTTTACTGCCTCACATCTGTTGATGGTGAAGTTATATGTGATTAAAAATGCTGTGTTAAGTGACAATAGGGAGAAGATGTTTTTTTTGCCAATTTTTTCTTGCAATAAACACCTGAAGGAAAGGTTACCTTCCGGGAAATTTGTTTGACGTAACTAAGTGACAGTGCTGTATCTTTATGTCAATATGACTTAAAGCTGAACTCAGCTAAAATGACCGCCATAAATGTCAACGCAAAATTGTGTTAGCATCCTTAACCATAAAATGACATCCATATATCACTCCCTCTCCACATTCAGCTCAATTCAATTAATCGAACCGATTTAGTTTACTTAAACAAGTTGCTGTAGTCGTTTTTTTTTTTCAGATTAATTTTAAGTCAAGGAAGCCAAAGGCAGAGGGGGAGGAAATGTTAGTTTATACTGAGATAGGAATAACACTGAAGCACATGGTGACTCGTACATATTCTTTTCCTTTCAATCGTGCTTTTCCCGGCTTACCATCTTTCCCCGGGGGTCCTGGGGGTCCAACAATGCCTCGTCCGTTATTCCGACCATTCCCTCCTGAAAACATGAGAGAAAGTACTTGAAGCGATAATTTAAAAGAACAACACAATTATCCTAGAATGGCAAAAAGAGTAATAATATACGAACCCAAAAAGTAGCTCGAGAACCATGAATCCCCATATTTAGGTCTTAGCAATGTTTCCAGCCTAACAGAGCGTAATCAAAACAAAGAAAATTACTGACAAAACCGCTTTTACAAACAATCTTTTTAAACATAATCCTACCAAATTTGGTAATATCCCGTAGCACGCAGATAAGCAGATGATTGATTTCATGAAAACGATAATTATTATAAAAGATAATTATTATTAAAGATAGTGAGGATCAAGTGATTGGAGGGTATGTAGTTGGTAGTGACTACGGCAACTATATAGTAACTAGCAAACTACATTAACTACAGCAACTACAGTAACTACACAAGCCACAATGACTATACGAACTACAATGACTACACAAACTACAGAAACTAATTCAACTATAGTAACTACACAAGTCAAAATGACTATACAAACTACGATAACTACGCTAACTATAGTAACTTCATAAACCACACTAACTACACAAACTACAGTAACTACACAAACTAAAGTAACTACATAAACCATAGTAACTACACAAAATACAGTAACTACATAAACTGCAATTACTACCAAACTATAGCAACTACATAAACCACAGTAACTACACAAACTACAGAAACTATACATACTACAGTAACTACATAAACTGCAGTAACTACACAAACTACAGTAACTACATAAACTACAGTAACTACATAAACTACACTAACTACACATACTACAGTAACTGCACAAACCACAGTAACTACACAAACTACAGTAACTACACAAACTACAGTAACTACATAAACTACATTAACTACACAAACCACAGTAACTACACAAAATACAGTAACTACATAAACTGCAATTACTACCAAACTGTAGTAACTACATAAACTACAGTAACTACTTAAACTGCAGTAACTACATAAACTACAGTAACTACACAAACAACAGTAACTACATAAACTACAGTAACTGCATAAACTACACTAACTACACAAAGTACAGTAACTACACAAACTACAATAATTACACAAACTACAGCAACTACCGTAGTTATTCGGTTATAAGGCGCACTCGGCTATAAGACGCACCCTCAATTCGGCAACTTCATAATTGCATGTTTTCAAACTGAGAAAATCGCTAAAATACTTGGTTATAGGGCGCACCGTTGTTTGGGGAGTAAAGATCGGTCAAGTTTATTGTAAATTCTTTCATAAACTTACAAAAAAGCGAAAAAGTCACGTATTGATTTTAGTTTACCGTTAATCAACAAAAGCAGAATTGTCGCACACGCGACCACGCACACAAACAAAAGCCTTGATTAAACAAGATGTACCGCCGAGAATGCAGGTCTCAGTGCACTAAAAAGGCTGAAAGGATGAAGAAGGTATTTACCTCTTCGCTTGTTTATTTTCGTTTCGTTTTGTGACGTATCAAATTACTAAGCACATGCTCTCGAGCATGTATCACATCTATGCAAATTTGACTTCGCTTGTCTTTTCAGAACCACCATATTCATAAAAGTCAATGTGTGTGTGTCATTTTATTTGCTTGAAATCGTACCAGTAACTGTGATAAAAAAAATTGTTTCGGGAAAATATTCGCCTATAAGACGCACCCAAACTTTGGCGGTAATTTTTTGTAGAAATTAAGAATTTCTTGAAAAAAAACGGTGCGCCTTATAACCGAATAACTACGGTACTCAAACTATAGTAACTACACAAACTTCAACAACTATCCAAACTACAGGAACTACACAAACTACAGTAACTTCAAAAACTACAGTAACCACACAAACTACAGTTACTATATAAACTACAGTAACTACACAAACTACAGTAACTACATAAACTACATAAACTACACTAACTACACATACTACACAAACTACACAAACTACAGTAACTTCACAAACTACACTAATTACACAAACTACACTAACTACAGTAACTACATAAACTACAGTAACTACACAAACTACAGTAACTACATAAACTACAGTAACTATATAAACTACAGTAACTTCACAAACTACACTAACTACACAAACTACACTAACTACAGTAACTACACAAAGTGCATAACTACATAAAATACAGTAACTACATAAACAACAGTAACTACACAAACTACAGTAACTAAATAAACTACAGTAACTACATAAACTACAGTAACTACACAAAGTACGGTAACTACATAAACTACAGTATCTACATAAACTACAGTAACTACATATATTAACTGAAATACTTCAGAATCTGCATTAATCAGAGCAAATAAAACTTATCAAAGAAAACTCAAGAAATGCTAAGGTGTCATTTACTGCACAAATAACATTGATTGCAATAACTTCAAGTGACCACCGAAAACTTTAGTGAGTAAAATAATATTCTTCTGTGATTACTCAAAGCACTATTTCTGTGAAATACAGAAATTACACAAACTGTAATGACTACGTAAACTAATCTGTCTACTGAGTCTACGTCAATTCAATCAATACTGTAATGATAGCAAACTATAAAAATTAAAACTATTACACAGCATATTAATTTGGCAAACTACATCAACTAAATAATCTAATTCTATATTGTCGGCAGATAACTTCACAAATAATTTCAAAATGATCTTAGAGCAAAATAGAAAAAAAAAATGGCCGAAGTTACTTTTTATCGCTCGCGCGGTAGGATTTGAGTTCTAGTTAATTCAAGGTAATATGTCTGTAGATGTGTGGAAGCGCTTCTCGCGTTATTCCGACCTACCTCTCACAAATTGTTCTAACCTTGAATTTTTTCTACGCGGGACTTTGATGAACCAAAAATTGAGTTTGCCTTAAATTTAAGATAAATGTCAGTGGAGAAACAGACTTACTTTTTCTCCAAAGCTTGCAGTCGTTGATGAACATTATTCAGGTTTGGGATGACATTCGTTATATTTTCGCGGGACCTTTTCTGACGTTCAGGCAGGATTTCTGCCGCCGGAGCATCTTCTAATCCTTTTTTTTCAGGCGTTTCTTCCGTGGCGACGATTTCACGCAGGGTGAAACACGTTGCAAACACGAGCACGGATGTTATTAACATTATGGTGTAGATACGTATGAATCTTTGCGTCAGTTGCTCAGAAAATTCGTTTCCGTGTAAGGAAAAGATTAACTCTTTCGTCTTCATAAGAAAACTGTGAGCTGTGAAATCTTTGACAACAATTATTAAAGCATTATTCAAACAAGACTGCATTAGTCAGGGGCGAGAACTTTTTCGCGTTTGCTGCTACATTACAATTACAATAAGATGGCCAGAATCTGTCGAAAATTTAATTTTGGTAGGGTGACAAGTTTATCTATAGTATCAAATTGTAGATTGCGCGAGGAGAGCTCTAAAAGAAATATCTAAGCACTTTCATGGATCAAAACGAACTTTCCTCGTTCAAGAGTTGTTCAGCGTGAAACCATCTTCATGGCAGGTGCTACGTACGAAAACTCTGGGGACGAAGGTACCTTGGCACTCGTCACGGGCTACCCTAAGTGCAGATACATCGAATATACAAATATTGACTTTTTTTGAGATCATGTCACAAAGCAATATAAACAGATTCAGTGACTGCGTGACAAACTGTTGTAATCACATTCTGAAAATAGTTGAACTTGTAAAATTATCGATGTGAATTTTTCCTTCGATTCTTTCATTTACAAACCTTGGTTGTTATTTCTGCTATGAATATCACGGCAGCAATGACGACTATCCCTTTGGAAATAATTTTTTTTTATATTTGGTCGCCTGCCTTCCTTCCTTCCTTCCAGTTACACAGCATTCGTGAAGTTGAAGGGAGTCGGAGTAAGTCACTAGATCAAGCTAGCCACAATCGCGCCTGTTGTCGTCGAAAGATTTCGGGGAAATAAGTGGAATATGCATAATTTCGACCTTAAACGTTCACAAATGAAAGTAATTTATACCCTTCACCTGTATCTCTAAACGCGCTTTATCGGAACTTAGGCAGCCTTGGAAGTGCATCCATACCGTTTTTTCAAGTTACACAGCATTCGTGAAGTTGAAGGGAGTCGGAGTAAGTCACTAGATCAAGCTAGCCACAATCGCGCTTGTTGTCGTCGAAAGATTTCGGGGAAATCAGTGAGATATGCATAATTTCGACCTTAAACGTTCACAAATGACCGTAATTTATACCCTTCACCTGTATCTCCAAACGCGCTTTATCGGAACTTAGGCAGCCTGGGAAGTGCATCCGTACCGTTTTTTCAAGTTTCACATTTGAAATTTTTTCATTTCTCCCAGGAATAATCAAAACCCACCGACTTAGGAAGAGATTCTTGGCTCGCTGGTAACACAGCAAAAAGTGGGGGTCACCGTATTCGGTTTTGAGTTATGGAAACATAAAGTTAAATTCGAGGGCGCTTTCAGGAGAATTTGGCGTTACCATGATAACCTGTAGTGTCAGAGGAGAGATTCTTAAATTGATTGGTCTTCACTGAGAATTGTCAGTGTCGTTATGTTAGTGTTTTGCTAAAGAAACTTGTTTGATGTTTAGAACACATCAGATCACCAACATAACGCATTTCTAAAACAGAGTTTCTCTTAAACTATTTTGCTACACTCCTGAAGCCTCGGAATAACAGGACTCCATCAAAGACATATCATACCAAATTATACAACATCTATGTCATCTTTAATTAAAAGTTTCATCGAAGCACGAAAGTTTGAGTTTTTTAAAATCAACTAAATTAGTACTTCGAAAGCAAAAGTGTCCGAATTTCGAATAACCACAAACCGCAGCTCGTAAGAATTAAAAAAGGCGGAGCAGTAATTTGGATGAAAGATTTTGATACAAAAACGATCAAGTGAAACTGTCTCTTACATTGAGTCTTGTACATCCAGTTACACGTAACATTCCAAATTTGTTACTTGGCCCTATTCAGCCGGGTCTCGGAACTGCTCCAGATCTTTTCTTTCTTTGAAATCTTTATTAACCAATTCACCGTATTTACAACGACAATTCTTAGCCTGCAGACAAGACGTAGTTTTTGCGTTTTGCAAGTGTTTGGAGGCAAGCGTGACAAGAACGCGAACTGCGGAAGAGCTTTTCCCATCGTCTGCACGCCTAGATACGCCGCGTAAATGACGTGCGCTCCCGCGACAGGTTTAAATCTTCGTAATCCTCTTCAGGTCGCTTTCAGAAAATCGCGAGGTATCTGTTACAGTTCTGATTCAAAGCATCACTGGTTATGTCATTACAAAGCGTTTTACTGGCCGTGGTAAGGTTCAAAGCGGAGACATTTAGTATTACACACTTTTTAGTAAAAATTGATCTTGCTTCTTCTTCCTTCAGTCCAACTCTAATTACACCGTGAGTAATGAGAAAAAGATATCGAAGTTTTGAAGTGCTCGCCATCTCTTGTAATGTCTAAATTGTGAAAAATAAAAGAAGCTTTAAGCACATGTATTTAACAAATACATTACAAATGGCATTTTTGTTTTAAAGAAAGCCAGGAGCAGATGAAACACAGAATAAATGTCGAGAGAAATGGAAGATGTCGTGCCTTCTCATGAAATGCACAATAAAATTCCTAACTGGTAATTAATCGCAGAAGAACAGAGGCCCTTTTGATGCAATCGGGAACGTTTTGATTTGGGTCGTGGCAAAAAAATTCTGGAGAAAGAAATCGGAAATTTAATTTCAAGTCATGACACACTGTTTTAGCTAATTAGAGGGTGCGCTGTATGGACGATGCGACTGTACTCGGCAATTTGAAGAACAAAATTAAGAGTGCTATACTAAAAGTCTACTGCAATTGGGTGTAAAATCGATGAATTGCTCGTGTGCTTCAACAAAAAAAAGCTATTGCTCACTAAAACAATTTGGTTTAGGCATTTAGCCGATCGTGTGATCGTGACTAAAGCTCGAAAAACGTCAGCCTTGTTTGTTAGTTTCAAAGGAATTTTCTTTGCAATGGTAACGTTCAAATCTAATTTTGAATAATTTTATGAAATGCCTGAAACATAACTGATTTGATAACGTTTTGGTAAAGCGATTCGGGCTAGAGACCAGAATTTACACATAAAAGATCCGCTTGAATTCTCCAACTAAGCTTTTCTTTATAAACACATCCTTGAACTGTTCCCTGTCGTCATACACCGAAGTTGTTTGCTTTTCGCTCACTTCGGTACACAACCGAACTCACATCAAAAGTGCATTAAAGCAATACAATATCTTACCTTAGCAATATTCGTGTTTCACGAGTTTTTCACCGCGTTTCTGTAATGTAAACTGATTTCCTTTCTCCTTGAGATCAACACGACCCTCGAGAAGCTGCTGTTGTGGGTATGTGTTCGATTAATCACTGCCCTCAGGGAAAACCTTTTGCTCGAGCCTCGTAATTCGATCGTTCATATTCAAATAGATAAACACGATTCCAAGAAGAAACTCCACGATGCAGAAGAGAAACAGAGACACCAAGGTGAAACGAGCAACACAGTCATCAGACCGCTTTCCTGAAAGCGCCATATCGCTCATTGACTTATGGGAATTGTCTCGACCATTTGTCTTTATTCATGAAGATATGTACAATAAAGCTTAATGTTAGTAAATGTCGCGTCATCTTTTGTGTTCATTATTAATCCAGCTTGATTGATCCAATTCATTGAAATAAGTTGTTGCTGTAGGTTTTCGTTGTTTCCAGATGAATTTTAGGTGTAGGAGGCCGAAGGTGGGAAGGGATAAGAAGGGAGGGGAGGATTTAATTAGAAAAAAGTAGAAAACTGAGTTATTTATATTCAAGATATACATTCAAGATGTACGGACACCGAAAACGGAGGTTTTCAAGTACGCTCGAATAAATAATACGGAATACTTCAGAAACTGGCGAGATATTTTGAGGCTTTTATCGGTGCAGAACTTCAGAGGAACGCACTTGAAACGTCTCAGGCGAAGCCCGCCAAAAGCTCGAAGATTTTAGATGCGTCCTGGGCGCACTAGCGCATGGTGGGAGAATTTTGTAGCGGGTATAGTAACAGACGAAGAATGGAGCGAGAATTTTCGAATGACTCCCAGTCAGTTTTGACGCTTGCTTGGGAGACTTTGTACTCTTGAGTCACCTTGAGTAAAAGCTCCACATCGTCGTCTGACCAGACGAAGGACTCTGTTTTTCCTTCTGCTTTTCCCTTGCCTTTAGATTTGGATGTCTTTTTGCTGGAGTTTGCCATGATAAAGAGTACATGAAAGTTTCAAAGTCGAGGGAGTGAGCAACACGATGTGAAATTAAACAAAGATGGCGCGGAAACTTGACTTTCGCGGGCTTAGATGTTTAATAATGCACATGCTCAGTGAGTGAAGTCTAGCGTTTTTAAATGATATTCGCGTATACGTGTAGACGGTCAAATACGATTCGAAAACATTACGTATGGACGCAGATTTTTTTAAATACGGCAAAAAAAATCTCCGTTTTCGAAAATACCCGGCAACGTGTGGACGGGGTCTAAATCACTCACAAATGCATCTCGAGGCGCGCTATATTTGGATTGTCGGGTGGCGCATCCTTACCATTAATCAAGTTTTACTTTAAAATTGTTTTGATCCGAGGGAATAAATAAAGCTCAAAGACTTAAAAGGAGATTCAAGTAAAAAAATGTCGGGTGGCTTAAAACACAATAAAATGGGGGACACAGAGTTGGTTTTTGAGAGATGGAAAAATCAAGCCAAATTTAAGAATATATTTTAGAGGATTTTGCTGTCGCCATAATAACTTGTTATGCCGGGGAGGGGAGCCTATATTAATTTGTTTTGACAGGGGATTTTTATGATCGCAACAAATGAAGGTGGAGTGGATGTAGGCATCCATTAAACGATAGATTTTGGAAGTGTAACGTAATTATTTTGAGTCTCCTTGACTTCGCGCAGCTTGAGTTTGAACATTTTTGTCTGTTATCGTGACTTGCCATTCATGAATGTGTCAAGGTTCTGCTAAAAAAAAAACTTGTCTGGTAACAAGAACACCGCACCAATTTGAAGCATTCCGGTATTATATCCCGCATATCTAGAACAGACTATCATAACAATCAACACGTCATGTATCATCTTTA